TGTCCCCCCCCCCCCCCCCCCCCTGTATAGCAGATCAAGGCTGATAGGCAAATTATTTATTAATATTGTTTTATCCATTTTATGCTACTGAGGGAGCTTGTTGGGTGACTGCTCATATATCCACAGAATAGATGAAGCGGAGAGATCCTTGCGCTTCATGTCCTCGGGTACAGCTTCCTCTCCAGCAAGGAGAACCGTGAGCAGCACTGTAGCGACCTCACCAAATCTCGCTTCAAATCTGTTCAGTCTAGCAGTAGATTGGTCTAGTGGGTGGCCCCTGAGTAGTTGTGTAAATGTTTGTGTTCGTAGTTCTTATCGGAACTATGCTGTGGAAGCTTTGGCCAAGAAAAGTCTAGCAGAAGACATTCATAGTTACATAGTATTTGAGGTTGAATAAAAACACAGGTCCACCAAGTTAAACCTTTGCAAAGACAAGACACCAAGACAAAGGACTTCTCACCTGTATTCCCTGTGGTCAACCTACTGCTGACCTTTTCCCCTATTACTAAGTTACTGTGTCTGTGTTCTTCAAAGTCTGTGTGGGAGCAACCTTCTTGCTGGAGACGAGGGCTTTGCTTCTTCATGTTAGAGATGCCCCCTTGATGACTGGTGGTCTGAAAATTGATGGAGTTATAACTGAGCAGCAGTAGAGATGAGGCAGAGATTCACAGAATAGACGAAGCAGAGATTCACAGAATAGACGAAGCAGAGATTCACAGAATAGACGAAGCAGAGATTCACAGAATAGACGAAGCAGAGATTCACAGAATAGACGAAGCAGAGAGATTCATGCATCACAGGTCCTCGGGTACAGCTTCCTGTCCAGAAGGAACAGTGGGCAGCACAGTAGTGATGTCATCCACACTCCAGATTTGGTGAGGCTTCCATTCAGAGGCAGCAGTGCCTTTATATTATCTCACACTGCAGATATACAGCTATGAGTACTTCTTGGGTATGATTAACATTTCTAAATGTTCCCTAAACAAAAAATTGGTAAATACTCACTTTCACTTTTTTTAGTTCAGGTTCATCTTAATACTTAACAAATTAAGATGCATTTCCTTATAAGTAAGTTCGGGTCATCTGAGTAAGCCATTGGGCTCTGTAAAAGAGAACTGCACTGCTTGGGGAAAAGCATTTTTATACACCTTGTTGTAGAGTTATTTATGATGCAGCTTGTCAAACGTTTGATTGCAAAGTATAAGCTTACATTACAATAAAGGAGTCTCGAGCATAACTAATTACTTAACGCCCGTTATACGCTGTTTCGGGTGGTTCCCTATTTCCTTGTAATAAAGTTTCGGTAACCAAAAAAAATATTTCCAAAGAAATTCTTTGCTCAGTGTAGTATACTGTAAAGTCTCTCTGATCTCTAATTGGTCTCCCTTTTTGTTGTAGACCCCAGATGGAGAAGGGTTAACAGGGGCCCACCATGTGTCATATCCTATGTCTGTAAGGTGAGCATTCTTCTCTATTATGCGTTCAATATATAGAGGTCAGGGCTATATTGGCTACCCTGTGTATCTAATAGTGATTCACCGATACCGGTTACTTTTTCTAGTTGCTCGCCAATAGCGATACCGGAAGTCCCATTTAAGAAAGTCGGACGGCGTGTAATGACTCGCCACCCGGCTTCCTGATTTTCAGGGAAGCTGTGTCCATGCTCCCTCTTCATGGAGTGTAATGACTCGCCATCCGGCTTCCTAATTGGCTGGAATACTGGTTCTATGCTCCCTCGTTACCAGGGAGCATGGAGCCAACTTTCTGGCCAAGCAGGAAGCTGGGGGGGGCGGGTAATGACTCTGCCCGGCTTTCTGATTGGTCAGTAAGCTGGCCAATCAGGAAGCTTGGCAGCAAGTCATTACACGCTGCCTGGCTTCCTGATTGGTGGGGAAGCTGCCTCCACGCTCCCTTGTCACATGGAGCTGGCTGCCTGGCCAATTGGGAAGCCGGGGTGGGGGCGAGTCATTACCCACCCCCGGCTTCCTGATTGGCCAGGAAGCCGGGCAGTGTGTAGATGACTCGCTGGCCGGCTTCCTGATACCTGAAGTTCAGGTATCGGGCTACGCATCGAGAACATTTGGGCGAGTAGGAGTACATGCCCAAATACTCTGTAAAGGCGCCAATACGATTATCGGTATTGGTGCATCCCTAGTGATTACATTAATGTGCCATAAGCTGTAGCTACAGTAATTATTAGCTGGGGCTCCCCCGAGTGTTCAAGGGTTCCTCCTTGCTAAAACGTTTCCGAAAGGCTGGTTTAATGTTTTTCGACCCATGTCTGATATTTCTTTATTCCTTTCTTGTCTGCAAGATTCATGACAGAAAAGGCCATTTCCTGGTTGCCAAAGCGAAGGAGATTGGACTTCCAGTGTACGTATGTTTTATTAGCACATAAACTTTATAAGCCACCACAGCGGCTTTTCATAAAGCGGCATCTATCGCACTTTTAATGTACTTATCACTCTTTTCTATACGCAGTGGGACCCGGGAGATTGGGCCTCTAATTTCACAGCTTAAAGCTGGAAAAAGTGTCATCTACCAGGAAAAAGAGGTGGGAATGAGAGAATCCAGGGGGCACTTTGGGCTGCAAAGACTTTAATAAAGACAATTGTTAATACCTGCTAACCTTTTCCCAGATTTCCCCTGCCGATGTCCTGAGTCCGGACGCCCCCGGTCCAACGTTTCTTGTGGTTGAGTGTCCGACTGAAGACTTCATAACTCCCATGACTGAGAATGAAACATTAAAGAGGTAAGGTTGTGCTTGTAATCCGGAAGTTTGAGCAAAGTCAGCATCGCGGACGCACAGTGGTCAGCATTGCTGCCTTTAAGCACAGGGCTGTTGGGTTTCAGATTTATATAAAATTCAGTTCCAGAAATTTAAGAAAAATTTCAGTTTTGGT